CCCCCCCCCCCACCGCATCATAAGGGCCACAAAGGGTCGACTACTAATGAGGTATTGACATGAACTTGACGCTTTATTTTATTTCGTTAAAACAAAAAAATATCTCTAATGAACCCTGCATGTCGAATATATATAATTTTTATCTTCATTACCTATTTGTGTCTGAATTTCGTGATACAATTTCATATCTTTAATTTTATAATACATGCAAACGGAAGATAATATATAAAAAAATGTTCCAAAATACATATGTCTAGATATATTTTATTCCACGCGCTCACCCCCATAATATCTCACCAATCAGAAATTAAAAGTTAATGTCACAATGAATTCGAACTGCAATCAATAAAAATTTTCATCCCCAATGAGAGAGAATTAATGCGACAGATGGAGAAATAATATGACTGAATGGCCTTTACGAGTTCCATATGACCTCCGCAAGAAAAATATCTCTAATGAACTCTACATGTCGAATATATATAATTTTTACCTTCATTACCTATTCGTGTCTGAATTTCGTGATACAGTTTCATATCTTTAATTTTATAATATACGCAAACGGAAGATAATATATGAAAAAATACAATACATATTTCAAAATGCATATTTCTAGATATATTTTATTCCACGCGCTCACCCCCACAATATCTCACGAACCAGAAAAGTTAATGTCACGATGAATTCGCACTGAAATCGATAAAATTTTTCATCCCCAATGAGAGAGAATTAATACAGTAGATGGAGAAGTAATATTCAATAATGAATCGTGAAATTTGACGCCCTGGCAAGCGCCAGGGTAATCTCGCAGGCGCCCTGTGCCCTTCTCCTCGCGCTTCCTCGTGTTTGAGGCGCGAGTCGCATAAATCCTTTTTTTTCCATCATTCTACCACAAACGATCGGCGACGGGGGAGGGGGGGCTGAACGGGTCGTGTGCGCGTGCTCAGAGATCCCAGCAAATGAGCCTTCAGTAACAGAGAGACCGTCGAACTGCGCGTTTCACATCAACGGGCACCACGTGCCCACACATCCCACGTGGTGAACAGCAGTGGAAGCTGATTTTTCAAAATACAGTGGGTGAACAATTCAGTGATTCAGGGGGGGGGGGNGTAATTTTATCGTCAAAGTGAAGCTGGAACGACGGATTTTAGCCAACGTGGAGGAGACAAAATCCATCAACCTGGAGTCCGCTTGTCAGAAGAGGTGAGAAACTGGATGAAATAATAAATCCATCATTTGAAATTGATATTATCGGATAATTGGATGTAAAATATTTTGATTAAAGTTGTAAACAACATCGTGAATGGCTCAATTGCCCACAAATCGTGACAAATGGCGCTATTACGGGGGAAAATAATCAGGATATTATCGGTGGAGTTGTGAGTCACGTATTGGAAAGGCGTGCGGTAATTAATAAATCGAGGAATCGATAAATCAATTTGATGGTGTTGGGCTTTCTTCCGCGGTGTTGTAACTTTCACGTTTGGGTTTGGGGGGGAAATATTGAATGAGGAGTTGTGAGTGGGCTACTAGGGAGATGACCCTGTGAACTCAGTGGTGGGATACCAATTATGGATGGTGTAATTAGAGACGCGGGATTGCTGATGTTGCTTCGTTTAACTGGAGATTTATCTCGGAAAGGTCGGGAGCCGCGGGATTACCTGGTGCTTCTGCAGTCCTGATTAAATCATTCAATTATTTTTCGTCATTTTCTTGAGGAATTTGGGGGGAATAATTGTTTCCTGAATGGAAATTTGATTGGTTTTATGATTCATGTTTTATTTGGGATTTGAATCCGTTAATTTTTTATTTTTCATCGACAGCATTGATGAGAATTGTGTTTATTTGAGGTACTCTGAGAGAAATACGACAAAGTTCTCAAACAAGTCTTACTTGTGCCAGGAAAATAGTTTTTTGAAAATTATCAAACATCGTTAATAGTTAACGAATCGTGGTAATAGTTAAAAAGTCTCGTTTGGTTCGACTAAACCGTTCTATCAGTGCATAGATTCAGTTCAAAAAAATTTCATTCGCTGTACACGCAAGAAATGTCATTTCTAGCACTACTCCTTCGTTATTCGATACTCCCATACGTATTTTGCTCCCGAAAAATCTTTGTTCTATGCGAAACAAGGGATAGTAATTTTTCGTTTCGACTGTTTAATAGTCCCAGATAAGAAATGAACCCTTGAATGAAACAATAATAATGATGTGACAGCAATCTTGCAACTTAGGGATAAAATATTTGTTGATAAATTTTCCTCTGTATGAGATATTTTCATCCTGAAAAGGCACCCTCTGGTGAGAATTGTCCGCCTTTTGAGCCAAACATTTCGTTGCTGTCGAAAGCGGAACAATTATTCATGTTTGAGACTTTCAAATTCGAACCAAACAAATTCTTTTTTGGCAATTTTAAACTAGCGATTTTGTTGGCCCAAACGAGAGTTATTTGACAACGCGTTTGTTTTTATCTCAGTGGAGTGCGTTGCTGGCTGATGTATTGAAAGCTAAGCAACGCTGACTGCGGTTATTCATTGGATCGGTGGACTGATCTTCGAGTTGTTCGACAATTTGTCACTTTCCTTTACTCCGATGACGTTCGTTCGAACCTTCGGAATCTTATCATTTTCTCGATTTGGGTGAACAATTCAGTAGCGAAACGGTAAACCGGGTTAAGTCGATTTTTACTATTGGCTAGTTCTTGACGAATATCTCGGAATCTAAAAGAGATAGAAAGATTTTTGTCATGACCTTCTTTGTGGAGCCAATAGAGCGTTATAAAAAAAGTAATGAGAAAAATTTTGCTATCTCTCTTAGATTTCGAGATATTCAGCAAAAACTGGCTAATTGTCAAAATCGACTTGACTCGGTTTACCGCTTCACTACTGAATTCAAATATTGAATTTTTACTTGAACATCATGTTCATGATCCCTTGTTCTTAATCAATTAGAAATTGATCATTTTAATTCACCGATGATTCATGTCATTCTGAATTTAATTATTGACAGTTGAGCTCGGTCAGGCTGGTGCATTGGTGCGAGCAGGCTTGCGATGTATTGAAAGCTAAGGAGCGCTAACTGCGGTCATTAACTGGATTGACATGTTCGGATGCTCCTGTCGTTCGACAATTAATCCTTTTCCTTTACTCCAGTTCCGTTCATTCGTGCTATTTGAATTCAACTTTTTGCCAATCCTTCCCTCCGCTCACAGATAAATTCGCTAAAATTGATTTGATTCAGAATCGAATTCGCGGAATCATGTCGTTTTGTCAATTCGTTGGACAACGCAATTGCATTCAATTTTTGTCTGAATATGGACTCGCTTTCGTAATCATTTAGAATTTGATAATTTTGACTCACCGATGCTTCATGTTACATTAACATTACGAATTTAAATGAATGAACCTCATGAATTTAATTATTAATAGTTGAGCTCGGTGAAGCTGGTGCATTGGTACAAGTAGACTAGCGATGTATTGAAAGCTAAGCAGCGCTGACTGCAGTTACTAACTGGATTGGTAGTGGTCTGAACTCCAAGTCGTTCGAAAATTAAATCTTTTTGCTTTATGACAATTCCGTTCATTTATTCTAATCGAATCTGTTTTGTCAATTCTTCTCTCCATTCATAGATAAGTTCGCCAACATCGATTGAATTCGCTAAATCGTATTTCGTTTTGTCAATTCGTTTGAACAATTCAAATTTCACTCGGTTTTTACCTGAATATTATCTCGTTCCTTCATCATTGAGAAATTGATCGTTTTGATACACCAATGCTTCATGTATGTTGTTCTGAATTTAATTATTGGCAGTTGAGGTCGGTGAGGCTGGTCTTTATGGTATGAGGAGACTGGACATGTCTCTACCCCGAAACAAATAATGTCAAATATTGAATTATTGGGGATTGAGCTCAATAAAGCTAGTGTTTTGTCACGGATAGAGAAGTTGATCTATCGAAAGCTAAGCAGCGTTGAATGGAGTTATGCACTGGATGGGTGACCATCCGGAAAGAAGAGGTATTTTCAACTTCAAGGGTATCCTCCGCAGTTGCAATTGCAGAAAAATATTTTTTATTATCTCAAATAACTGCGCGGAGAGAAATATTCAATAAAAATTATGTATCTTTCCGTAATTCCGGAGTGAAATGAGGTTGTAGGAAATTTTACGGAACTGTCACGGAATTTTTCCAGGGCATTCCGTAATTTTTATCTGAATCTTCTGTGAAAAATTACGATACCGTCACTTAAATTTGTCCAGAGCAGACCGGAATTTTTCCAGAGTTCCGTAATTTTGACCGAATATTTCTCGCCGTGTGGTTATAGCGTTCAGCATTGAGTACGCCCCATGCTGATTTCTTCCTCCATTGCCGGGCAATGCTCCTTTCATGAGAAAAAAATCGAATATGCTTTCCAAATTTAGACTAGACATGTCTCTTCTCCGAAAAAAATAACATTGTCATGTTCAACAATTAATCAATTGGCAATAAATTTTTTCAATTAATCAATTTGTTATGTCATTTCGAATTGAATTATTGGGAATTGAGCTCAATGAGGCTAGCAAATGGGGACTCCCAACATTTTTTCCCAAAATTAGAAAATAATTAATTAATTCATAACTTTCGTCATTATTCAACCGACAAAATCGTGGATAATCAATTGATCCCCCTGTTGCAGTGAAAAAATGCACTTTCTTATTCCCCATATCCATGAATATAATTCTCGTCTCCGATCATGCAAATTACTTCCAAAATTGATGACACTTTTTACCCATCTCTTTTACACACTCAAAGAGATCCCGACGATAAACCTCGATCGATCGATTTAACGTACGCTGTCCAATAAAAATCCCGAACTTTCACAAAAATAATAAATTCAGGAATATCTTTTTTCCTCATATTTCACCGCTGGATTTGCGAAATTTTTCGGCTTCAACATCCGGAATCCGGTGGATCATTTGGGTATAGATCTGGTGGGGACGGTTGGACAATCGCCTCGAGACTGAGCCCGAGGGGAACCGCGCGTTGCCAATTGCTGTAATTAGTGGACCTATTCTCCGGCTCCTCAACTCAAATTTATTCATGAGTGGAGAAGAGGCCAGCATTCATTCCCCCTTCCAATTCCTTTCGAATTCAGCAATATGAAGACGTCGAAACTCAAGGAAAAAACGTAAACAAACAACTTGCGGTGGACAAAACAATTGCAAAACAAATTTCATAAAAAAAGGGAGTTCCATCGGTTGAGGCTGTGAATACTATTTGTTATTCTAGACTTCACTTCATCTTCTGATTTGTTTTTCTAGGGGAACATTCAATTCACTCGTTCAATGATTGATTATTTGGTAATTTAGTACTTTAGTCCATCGATTATTCAAGCTAATACTCTCACTGTTATTATCAACAGTTAGACTAGACGTACACAAATAATCAATAAATAATAAAATAAAATAAAATAATATAAACAATCAATAAATTTTATAATCATAATTTTTCTCAAATACATTGCATAAAGAATAAAAATCAATAAAATATATAATTCACCCCCGAGAACAGTCAAAAAAACGAAATTAATTAAACTGAGAAGTAAACCGACCTCAAGAATTCATTTCCTTTACCACGAGGGAAATATAGACTCCAGTACTGAAAACGGAAAAACCGACTGGAGGCTGACGGACTCCCCAGGGCTCCCCACCCCCCACTTCCCCTTATTTTTCATATTTTTTCCACGACTGTAAGAAGTTCTTCAAATTCACAAGAGCAAGGAAATAAAAAAAAGAAAGGGTCGAGGTTTAAAAAAATCGCTAGAACGTCAAGCAAAGACTGAATAAAGGGGTGGGGGGGAACTTTATTCCTTGGTCCGTGGCCTAGAGGTAAAGGGGGGTCGGGGGGAAAGAGGCGGGAGACTTTGTTGAACCAAGGGCAGATGGAAAGAAACGAAGTACGAGATGTAAGGGTATAGAGAGGGAGGTGGGGGGTTACGTCGCACTGTTGAAGCCCCCGAGGTTATCTGGCCTGGGGCCCGGACGAGCTCCAGTGCCAGTGCGCTCAGTTGCCGTAATTAGAACAGATACCCTCCGGCAGAGACGTATTCGCCTCTGGCTCTCTCGAGTCTCTGGTGAATCGAAATTATTCATGAAACATGCCCCGGAGGTTTTTTTTTCATATATTTTTCGACAAATATTTTATTTCATGTGTAGTATTCTTTGGTCG